CATACAATATCAGTGTTGTGTATGGTATCTACTGATGATTCACGGTTATCCAAATGATGAGCTTTTGTTGTGTTGCACTGTTAGTACTTGCAAAAATTGAATTCTACAATTGTAAATGTCTATTTTTGAACTTTTCCAACGCAAGACCTGAAGAAAAAAATATTATCTTCTTGTACTCTTGAACTTTTTCAATTCTCGATTCATTTACTTCTGGGATTTCCTTTATAAATATATGTGGAATAAATATATAACTTATTAATTTCGAGATCTTTTAGTTTTAATAACTCTGTGACTGTATGAAGTAGGCATTTCAATACTTGGATATAGGGAGTAGTAAGTTAGAAAGTTGACACATAGTAGCTAGCTGGCAATCTTAAGGCCTTGCAGTTCACAAATAAGCCTTGGAAGTAACACATTTGAGGTAACTTTCAGGCCGGGTAAATATAAACTGGGTCAACTGTACGAAGAGTATTTATGCGTCTGCAGAGTAGATACGATACTCTTCGTTGACAGTACAGGTCCAATAGTACGCGCATAACATTTCTACTTTACAGTACTGTGCTTCAATCTTGGCGAGTTGCGACGACTCTATCAACATTCCACTGTCTAAGCTCATGCCTCAACACTTTCCCGGTCTACCGCTGTACTCCTCCTCACTTACTGCCCTTCACATGAATTCCATAAAAGTTTGTTACATGGTTGTTCAATGATTCAATGCCGGATCATCTTCTCTCGATCTCCTTTCCACTGTCTTCGTGAGGTTGTAGCTGCGGTGTTACTACTACTTGCATGAGGTGGCCGATTTGAAAGTGTAGAGAGAGAGAGAGAAAGAGAGGGAGGGAGGGGAAAAGACGAGGTGCATGGTTTTCCGACTGTCCGTCCCGTCCTCGCAAGCTCCTTGAGTGTAGTGTGTGTGTGGGTGTCGAAGGAAAAGAGTCCTGGATTTTGACATTGATACTCATTCTCATGCTGCCCCAGTGGCGCAGCTTCTACGATGCAACTCATTGCACTTCCTGTCTCTCCCACATGCGGCAGCAGCACAGCAGCTGCAGCTCAGCCCGAACTCCCAAAATCCAAGTGTGTCCTGTGCATGGAACATGTATTCGCACTGCTCTCGCAGCAGGACCTCCGTTCAGCTCAGCTCACTCGTCCCAACTCAGTCTGGATCGAGAAACAATGGTCCCTCCTCCCAAATTAATTGACCTTCAATAATTGGCCCCGCAGCCCCCTCTGCCCCACCCGTTGCCTCGCATACTACATCCCCAGTGCAGTCAGTGCCTTACAGTGGACTGACTGTGCAAGTGGCAAGGCGAGGCAAGTCCAGCAGCACCAGTCTTCAGTCAGGACCAGTCCTCACTCCATATCTCACTACCACTTGCTCACACTCTCTATGTCTACGTTCCTTCTCTCTTCTTCTTCGCCGCCTCGTCTCGTCGTCCTCGTTCTGGTCGTTGCTGGGACACCACGTTGGGGTCGAGCTGAGTTCCCTCACTGGTACTGAGTACTGAAGGCAAGTCTCAGTGACTCAGTCAATAGTAACCCGAGTGAAGAACTGGTCAAGGTGGCGGTCCGTAGATCCGCCCGCGCGGCCAGCCCAGAGGCGCACGGTCAACGTCCCGGTAATCCTTTATTTATTGCATGTGTCGCCACGTGATGGCTAATTAAGCAGGTGGGGGAGGATTAAATCAGCAGCCCCCAGTCAGCTCGTTAAGTACGAGTACTTGATTGCAAGCATGTGCTTAAGAATTGGGGAGCAGACTCGGGAGTCGGGGGACCCCCCGTACGTACTTTGACTTGCGACTAAGGCACACGTTTCTCTCGCGACCTCTCGGGCCACCCACACACGCACCACCGTCCCTGTGACGGCATTCGTCGCACCGGCCAACTTATCCCGTTAATTGTTGCCGTCGTTTAGTAGCCGTTATCATCCATGGGATGAACGCGCGCCTGCTGGGCTGGGCTGGGCTGGGTTGGCCTCTGGGCTGCTTCCGCTCCTCTCTACCGTACGTCGTACGCTCATTGTATTTCTGTCGAGGGCAGCCCTCTCTCCTACCCCAAACCCCTTCACAAATAGCTAACCGTACCCCCCTCCGCGTACGGGCCCATCGTCTAAAGATGGTCTCGCGACCTGAACTTACGATGCTACAACGTACTGTACTGTCCCCCGCTCCGTGTACATGTATTGTTCCTAACTTCCTAGCAGCGCCGCACTTCCCCAAGTTCCCCTCTGACCCGAGTCCACAGAGCGCACACTTCCCACTACTAGAGCGTCAATCGGCAGCTCGAATGTACTTTGCTCTTTCCTCAGTTACTTCGCGGTGCCCGTAGTTACCTCGGGGAGCGAGGGAGGGCCCAGTCGAAGGTCCAGTGCATCGGAACCAGGCTCCGAGGTTTCGAGGTTTCTGATTCAAGCCCAGGTCTAAATTGGGAGGATTTAGCACCACTGCTGTACACTGCCTTCTTAGTTGCTATGTCTTGCTATTCATGTCCGAGAGCTTTGGTCTGATCTTGTAAAGATCTCCACGGCTTTAATGGCGTACGAATTTTATGGTTGTTTTATTTCCCCTCCCTGGAGTTTTATTTTATAGATTTCCGATCTCGATTGTATTGTTCATTTACTGTTGTTTCAGGTTTCCCCAGCATCGGGTTGGGAGTTTTTTAATGTTCTACTTTTGTTAATTTCCTTCATGGTGTTCAGACTGATCCTCTCCACTGCTCGCATGCGTTTCAGTTCCTGTTTCAGCTCCTGTTCCTGTCCCTGGAGCTTATCTTTTCTCAGCTCTGAGTCCTTTTTCCGCACTAAAATTCCTAGCAGATATTCTAACCGATTGATCCTGCGATGAGATTTTTCCCGATGCTAGACCGGGGAAGGCATTTGACTCAGGTCCCTCTGTTGCCCCTGGGATGCCACCTTTTGCGTTCCGTCTTATTTTACTGAAGTTTATTCCCGGCCGGCCTCACTGCCTGCCATGGCCACCCAGTGAACGAACGCTTTATAAGCTCTGACTACATTGCCGCCGCAGCTGCTGCACCTGGGGCTAAGACATAAGCGTACTACTTCCATGTGTTTGTTTGTGTCGAGGTTGGAATGCTTGTGAAGTTCGGTTCGGTTGCGTACCTTTGTGAAGATATATGTAAGGGCCGAGGGAGAGCTTCGTTGCCTGAGTTTAGAGACTCGCGTTTCCTTTGATTTGGGTAACTAACTCCCAGAGAGACATTGAGGGGCATGTGTGATCGGTTGGTTCTGATTAGTTGAAGAGTCGGTTCGTCTCGCTCGCGGCCTCGCTCCTCCTCGAGGCTCCTTTTCTCTTGCTTCCCAGCGATTGGTGATGGGGTTTTCCTCCCCTCACCTCGCACTGCCTACACTTTGGACGTCTTAGGCTTTAGGTTGCCTATGCACCGTACAGTGGGCTAGAAACTTTCGTGTGAAGTTTCTCTTGGAACAACAAATAGCTCAGAGGAAGCTTTGCACCCCACCACCATCAACACCACCCAGCACGTTGTGGAGGTTGTGGAGGCTACTAGGGGTCTCGCGTAGGAGTTGATGCATTTTCATATCTTTGCTTGAAAAAGTCTTGTGGTCACAGACTGGAGGTGAGGCATGTGCCCCCCTTGCATAGCATCTTAGGCTGTAGCTAAGTTAGGCTGGCTTCTACAAGTGACATGGAGATATCAAAGTTCGATATCTCCGTAGGCCAATTTATGATTATTTAAGACTCACCAAATTAATGGAAAGATTTTCGTTGATTTTTTAGATAAACATAAATCATGATTAATATATATAATATAGGGAGAGAGAGAGAGAGAGAGAGCATCAGAAGAACATATTATCACAAGAAAGGGCTGAATACGGACGTTCTACCTTACGAGTTTTTTTATAGAAGGTTACCGATCTTTCAACCATGTGAATATCCTGTCAATTGAATTCGGTCTCGTAGATTATGATGAAACTCAGTTTAAAGAATACAATTTCCGCAGCATGAAGGTTACTATTTCCTATCAATTTTTATAGTGCTGATAGATTAAAGGAAAAAAATCTGATATGGTAAATAGTAAATGGTAAATGATAGTCTTTCAATGTTTTCAGTTTTATTATCATGAAATTTTCTTTCTATATTTTACATTCATGACTACTCGCTTTTCGATTTATAGGGCATTTACGAATTGTATCGGAACATATCATAATGCTGTACAGCTTTTACATTAGGAAGCCTGAGTGAGTCACGGTTGTCGATTTGTCCATACGCGTCAATCTGCTGCTGAGCATGCCAAAAGAGACTTGCAACGCTCTAGCAGATTCTCAAGGTCTTCGAGTCCATGTGTTACTCGAGACTTGTCCTACAGAAACCAGAAGTGAACTAGTCTTCCAGTTTTTTACTGTAAAAGCAACGACTCCCATACGAAGGTTCAATACTCCAACAGCTTGCGGAGAATGATCGAAACCATCTGATTGAAGGCACTAAAGCTAGAGATTGGCATTTGTTTCTCTGGGATGTTCGTTCCAAGTGATCTTGTCATAGCGGTGTACGAATGGTCTGTCCCGTAGACGGCTCTCGGGTGCTGGCGTTGTAGGATATCAGAACTCAAGTGAACTAGATTCCATTGGGCCGCACGCAACCGGTCAGACTTTCCTTTGAAAAACCGTGTCCAATGCTGCCAATTTGACAGTCATAATCCTGCCACGATATATATTGCCTGGGTTATTTGACCATGTACCACCAGGAAACGCTCATTGCGAAGCTAGTGCAAAATCTCTTGATCGATCATCTCCTGGTTTTTTCTGAGTCAAGAGGGTAAGATCGAGGGGTTTCAACCTCCTCAAGTGGCAAAATATCGAGGAAGACGTAAGATTTTTACATTCAACTCGTCACATGTGAAATACTTGGCGTAGAAATGGATGAAATAACCAACAGTTTCAAGCCATGGCAATAGCGGTATCTTTAGTATATCTTCACAAATCAACTAGCCTGAGTGTGGAGATCAGAACATAGAAAAACCTTGCTGCAAATGAGCTTGTGATGAGTAACAAGCCAAGGTGTTGCGCCAAAACTTTACAGCGGTGAAAATTTTAAACAAGTCATGTGGACGGATACAAGTGTGACAATACTGAACTGTACAGTACTGAGATGCATGGATCACCTACACACATTGTAGCTACATTGTCTTTGCACTCTACAACATTGATCGAAACGATTTATTCTGAGCCTCTGGAAGCAAAAATTGGGATGGGGAGAGATGCTTGCGCACTCCTCACGTTCACTTCTGAACGTAGTTTCATTTTCTTCAACTATTCTCAACTGTCTAGTGAAAAGACTCTGGCCGTCATATCATCTGACCCGCTCAAAATTAGTCTTCCGTCCCTGCACATCCAAATACACTCCCATTAAACTTAGTAAATAATGTTTCAGATATTCGATCCATCATTAAGAACAGGCCTTTTCTTGCAAAGATGTATATGGAATATAATGACCACTTATCGACTTGCTCAGTAGGATCGTTTCCTCCCTTCTAGACATTTAAGATAGAGAGACAGACACTATATATATATCCAAAGCTCGAGATCTGGACGAAGAAGTTACAACAGAAACTGTCAACAAAACAGTCTAAAGGACATAGTACTTACTTCGATACCGCCATGTCCGTAATAGAATCTGAGTGACCCTGGAAACGCCTCACGAGTTCTCCTGTTCGACTATCCCATATTCTGACAGAGCAATCTAGGGACGCGGTGTAGATAAGGTGTGATCCTGTGGGCCAAACCACCTTCACGATTCCGTCCTGAAAAGTAAAGGGAAAAAAAGAGAAAAAATTTGAATAAGAGCAAGGTAACATGCTAGAATTAATTTAGGTAGATACCTCGTTTTTGATCTTAAGTCACTAACGCCTATACAAGAGGTTTCTCAGCAGTATTTCCATGAATGTCAAGTAAACGCTATACACATCAAAATTTGCCTATCACAGAACCGTGTGCTTGCTGACACGTGCAGAACGTTGAGCATATAAAGATAGGAAGAATGGATGAGAAGAGAGGAAACTGTTTCTCAAATAGTCAAGCTCCTAATAGTAGAAGATATTCATCACAAGATTCAGAAATCTGGTGTATGAACCTGTTAAGGGTGCCTTGTTAGACAACCTTCACAAGAGCATATATCAAGTTTCAGATAATATTTTTTTAAAAGTTGAATTTCATTTGATTTGGACTTATCTGATAAAGCAAAACAATCATTAACTTTTTTTAACCCAGTTTTGAGTGAATTTTGTTACCCCAAAATAAAATCACTCAAGAATGACGAAACTTTGGGTTTCACATTGCGAAAGCAAATATTTCTAGATAATCCTCAACTTTCTTTTGATTCATCTTTACACAATTTAGAAGATAGAAAGTAAGCATAAATAGAGACAGTCCGTCGAAAAGTCAATTTACTAATCTAGATGTAAACTCTAGATTTCTCAAAAAATAATGATCGAGTATAGGAACATCCGATAACGAAAAATTTGAAGCATCCAAGTTACCTCATGTTCACATGTATGCCGAGGCGAGAGAGTTTGGAGATCCCAAATGATAAGGTTTCCATCCAAGCTTCCCGTCGCTGCCAATGGTAATCTACAAATATGGAAGGATAGAATTTCAGTGTTGATCCGAGAGCTTACTTAACTGTAACTAAGGCTACTGTGTCAAGCGTACTATTTTCAAGATCTCAAATGCGTTCATCTTTCCTTCATATTTAAGATATGGTAAGAAAGCAAAAATCGATCAATTATTGTTTTAAACTTACATAGATGAGAGTCCAACTGACTCTACTGATTTCGTATGGAGGCCAGTCAATGATCCAGAAACCTGAAACAGAAATCCAGAAACAGTGGAGGTAATTAAGAGAAGATGCATATTAGACCATAATAGTTATCCACTTTGTTCTTTATGAATTACTCATTGAATTACTCGAATCTTGGCACACCCTGTAAGGATAAGTTTGTCCATCGTGCACGCAACATAGTAAAGATACTTTTGCCGGATCCAAGTTGCAAATTGGAAAATGAAAAACATTTGAGTTACCTTCCCAGTTTGTAAGTTGATTATACAGGCCGTTGCATCAGTGGAGCCTGTGATGGCTATGGAAGAGTCGAGATGAATAGCCATGCAAACCACACCCTCTGTGTGGTAAGGATGACCTGTATGCAACAATTCATACGAGATTCAATTGGTGAGTGTTAGAAAAAGACAATCTCTCTACTCAAGCTACCAGCAAGCAAGTCGGTATGATCGATACAGAATCGTTATTCTCCTATGCTTACGAATGAAAGACCAGGGTTCAGTTTGAATGTATAGGACACGGCAAAGAAACTTAACCTTGAATGACATGTGTGGTCGTGGCTGTTTTTGGATTCCAAATCCTAAAACTGCCGTCTGCAGATCCGGTGCAAATCAATTTTCCTGCAAGAAGACGTTCCAAATTCAGAAACCCAGTTATGTATCAGCTCAGGTGCTGAAAATTTCCGATCTTAAATAGGACTGATGGGAGAGAAAAAGCAACCTTACCATCAGGAGTAAAGTCCCCGCACATCACTGACCCGCTATGACCAGTAAAGACATTAAGACACTGACCACTGTCTGCATTCCACATCCAAGCTGAAAAGTCCTCTGATCCTGCAAGCACCAGATGCCCCCGAGGATGCCATTTCACGAACTGACCAAAACATACGAGGTATCAGTACAACTTGCCAACAACAATCCAGAGTCACTCAATATCCTCCACAGGATCTTCACTAATAAAAATTTCAAATACATGTACAAGAAAATGCAATTATCAGCAACTATGACAGAAAAAAGGCATCTGTCGTGTAAAATCAAGTATACTATGTCAAGAAGATCGTCATACCAAGCTAGAGCTTCCAACATGGAGGGTTAGCAAACATAGACCATGGGTTATGAGTTGCACCCACCTCAATCCCATCACTTGGCCCTTCCAGATGATGCTTGCTAACACCATTCTGCCAAATAATCACAAAACCATCAAGCCCACCCGATGCAAGAAGAGCTCCGTCGTTGCTAAATGCTAACTGTACTAGAGAATCCGTATGCCCTGGAAAAGCAAAAAGGTGAGGTGATTTCATCAAAATTCCAGACGAAATACCAAAAGATAACTCGACCCTTCGGATAAAATAAACAGATTCATTCAGCACATGAAATTGTGAGCATATAACGATGAGCACTGATCACACACAGTACCTCTCAGTTCACGTGGGTCTACTGCTTCTCCAACTCTCCACTGAAAACCAACTTCATCTCCTCCCCCAGTGGCAACGAGTCCTGGGTCCGTTGGGCTGATGGCAACACAATATACAGAATCTAATTTGTATACAACAAAGTCAATTTCAGTCAATCTATGGTATGACAACCCAAAGTAAGCTGAATTTAAAGAAGAAAACAAAAGCACGGTGCTTAGAGGCTTTCCGCTGGAATCAGGAAAGTGTAGCATTTATTGAATGGTTTACCTGTATGCCCGGTGAAGGTATGGTCGGCGTCATCTATTTTATCGTCCTCTCCTTCCCCTTCCATTACTGAATCCGATTGTGTGCAAGATCATATCATAATCAAGGAGCAGGTAGCAGTAAAACGAATTGGTCAGCCCAGGTGAATTTTTAAGCAAAAAAATAAGGTAACTGTTGCTACGTGCAACGATGACCTCGTCGGTGGAAATTTTTAGTAGACCCTGACAACGTGTCAGGGTCCAAAACAGTCAATTATGAATAAAGAATAGCGTTAGAAGGATTACTCTGTAGCAAAACTGCAATTTACCTGTCATCATATCACCCATTTGGTCCATGAGATCTTCCGGGACTCCATTTTCGCTGTCTGTAAGCCGAATTGAACTCGCCCATTAACACCATAAAAACTATGAGAGGTAACACGTGTCCCAAGGCCCACTTCCACCTACTGAACAAAACTCAGAAACTTCCTTCTTGACCCCAATCAGATACTAGCCGCAATCCTCCATCAACTCATGAGAATCTGCCTGTCTCAGCGTGGGGACAGTAGATCCCGGGCCCTGGCTAAGCGGTGCTAGTAATGAGGACAAGGAAGACGACGAAGAATGGAGAGGAAATGAAAGCGTAAATCTAAGAGGATTCGAGAGTAAAGGTCTATTTTATGATGGTAGTTCTTCCGATAGATTGAGGCATTTCGGAGCTTCCGAGTGTCCAACCAAGAAACAATATATTACTCACTCATCCAGCTTGTTGGGTTCGACAACTCTTGACACTTTTACTATAAAGTAGCGACAGAAGCTTTGGGCTTTGATTTAGACTAAGAGAAGAAATTTTTGTTGCACCAGCTGGGGAATGGTGTGCCTTGTTGTCGCTCTCATCTGTAAAAAATGCTGCACTTCTCAAAATCATGGACAGGTGTTTTCTCGGAACATAGTGAGCAAGTTGCAGGGTGGTTACTCATCTTATTCTTCTTCATTGGTTAAACGGGATGACATCCAACCCTCCAAAACGTGAAATCCAAATATATTGATTAGAAACCATGGGTATATAGTAAATCGTGCAGACTGACAGGTACATGTTGTGAACGCTTTTAAAAAAAGGTTCCAACTGCCCTATCTCTATCTCACCCAAGCCGGATACCGTGGGTCGTTCTACTGCCTTCGTTGTGTCCTCAATCTCAAGCTGGACCCAACTTAGCAGTTCTCCCTCGGCTCTTACGAGTCTATAGAGCATCCAGTGAAATTTCCGGGTGCCGTGGAAAATTTCAGCCGCATTTCCAATTAAGTTTGGCAACATCTCCGCCTATTTCTTCACATTTCCACGGTTTAATCCACATTCTATCCTAACTCCTCCCAACTTCATTGATGGAGATGAGACAATGATGCAAATGGCTCTTAGCTCAGCACACTGAACGGTTTTACAGCTCCATATTCAAGAGTCGGTATGAGAAGTATGAAGAACTCAGTATGAAGTATGAACTCAGATATAAGTTATCGTAATGATACCCCAGCACCGAAAAGTAACTGAGGATATCAAAAAACTGACTCTGCCCCTTTCCAAAGGCTTTATGCTAGTGAGATCCCCATGAAGAATCTCTTCATAACTACAAATGCGTGTAGGAGGGAGGGAGGGCAAACACGGTCTCAATTGGTCATTCTCAACACGGCTAAAATTGTGAATTAAAACTATACGAATTGAACACGTCAAACCATATGAGCAGTAGGTGGATGGAGCGTACGCAAAAGTTTGGGGTATCCGGTGCCTTTGTTGGCTACGTAGCGAGAAGGATTCATGACTCAGAAATCGAGTCAACAGTTGCAATCTTAATTGCTACTGTAAGAAGCAAATAATTTGAGTGTCTACATCATCGTCGCCAGAAAGGCTGATGAATTTCGCGTTCGAAGGGGTACTATGGTGAACAGCTGGAAAGGAATAATGAGATGTTTCCATGTTATAAAACTTAAATCTGCGCAGTGCTACCTTAAGGTTAGTGTGTCAAGAATTTTAACACATTTTACAAATCTGTCACAACTTTTGAATTGAATGCGTCTGAAAAAGGAATGGACTCGAAAACAAACGCAAAAACAGAACTCTGTAATACCTTCACAGGAAGAGAAGTAGGAACCTCACCTCCATCATGGTATTCTCCATCGTCACTCAAAATCTCCTCCACGACATCTTGCTCATCCAAAAACACACGAGCTCCTTCTTCAGGTTCCATGCAGCAAATTCACACTCACCGGATGCAGGCCTTCTGTCTCGATTAGGTCACAACGAGCGAGCTTGCTCCCGAGAAAAATCGATTCCTTCGGAAGTCAAACGAGTGACAGACAAACTAAAGGGCACTGCAGGCGCTCGCGAGCGCCTGCAGTGAAACGCGAAAGCAGATCTGCCACTGGCCGAAAACGCAGGAAGGGGGCGCACGAGTGACCGCCGCGATCGAACCTGAAGAGAAAGGTTCGCGAGCGGATGGTCTACGGAGCTCCGATACATTCTCCTGTACAGACTGGACGGACGTTCACCGACGACGACGACTGCTCCGGTCGACGCAGAGCCTCGCGGACTCCGTCCCGCCCATACCACCACGCTTTCACCTCGGTCATTCACATGGTTCCCATCATCACCACCACCACCACCGTCATCATCGTCGTCGTCCCGCGTTCTATACTCTTCGCATACCCAACCGCGGTACTCGGTCGACTGCACTAGGAGAGCTACTGCATTACTGTAGTAGTGGTCCAGCTCGCACGGTGCAGACGAACCGAGTACAGTAGAAGCCACCGACGATCTGGTCCGGTGGTCGAATCGGCGTCGCGAGCGGCGAACGTCGTTCCGGAGGCTGGAGGCTGGAGGCCACCTTCCTGCCAGCAAATCTCTGCTTATGCTATTGACCGAATCAGGCATCCAAATTTAGCAGCCGATCTTAGGGAAGAGTGCGATTAACTGGCTACCCGCTTGATTAGGCTTTTCTGCTCGTTCTGTCAGAGGAGGTCACGGGGACTCCGAGGGACATTCGAGTTGGGGACAAAAGGCTGGACCCTGGGTTCCGTTGGATGGTTGGAGCCATGAGCGCATTGCTCCTGCAGGGCGTGCGATGCCAACCGGGACTGCTGACCTGAGTTGGGCACAAACAAACTACAGTACAGTAGTCCAACTTGTCGATGTTTCTGTCCCTGCGACGTTTATCGGAGTTCGTCTAGTGGGTGGAGCTTTTATGAGCCTGGACCCTCTGACTCCGCTGTCGAGGGAGACGGACGAACCACCAACTAAATTTGACTGAATTCGAACATTCCGCACTTCTCGTCGCGTTCTGTGTCCAGGTCGCGACTCGCAAGTGGTGATCGTGGACTCGCGACCGCGACGAGTCAAACGAAGTCAACAGGGTTCTCGAAACTGCGAAGTCGGAGCTGGCGAGCGTGGTCGACAGTCGGCGTGCCGTAATGCTGCTTTGCACTCGTGATTTCACAGTACGCGGTTCTTTAATCTGCATGGTAACCTTCATAAAGACAAGTGTGCATGTGTATACCCATGGACACTTGTCTTTATAAATCATGAGTACAAAGCTCTGGAATTTTGCAAGACATGATGGAAGAAAAGGACAAGTTATTGTCGTGTGGGCAATGTCCAAATTCGCTAGTTCATTCCAGGTTGATCGTTTTTCCCGTATGGAGAAAATAAAATATGATTTTTGATTATCAACATACAACAAACTATGATAAAACAAAAAACCACCAGCATACAATTAGCTCACGAAACATATGAATTTAAGTGGACTGTTTTAATAGACTTATTTGGAGAGATGTGAATCTCGGTTCCATTCCGTTAACTGCTACCACCGGATAATCAAGTACTTATACCACTCTCCTATTCGTAAGGGGAATCGAGTGACCGAGCAAAATGTACATCTGCCTAATCTACGACGTACATACGTGTACCCTGAGGAATGCACCTTGACGGGCTTCTGCCATGTATTGGGCGAAAGGGGATCTTTATTACATCACAACGTATTGTGATTGCATACAGTTTCTAGTATAGTTTATTATGTATGCGATGTTCTAATTGGAAGATGAGGATTGTTAAGGGATAACATTTGACTTCAGCAGCGGAGGTTTTGGCCAACTATCGCTGTTAGACTTTCTACGTGAATTGCGACTACAGTTTATGCTCATCTGTCTAATTATCTTCGATGATGGTGCGTGCCGATGACGTCCACCAGGATTTCCATTCATTCCTATGTAATTGAACCTTTCACGATTTATGTTTTCTTGCAATTACAACGGGAAAATATAAACCCGTGTATAGTGAAGTCGCCTCATTGACGCCCAGGATTATAATAATAAAATTGGAAAAGGAATGAGATCTTTCGATTTGTTGGATGGATTTTTTATCCAAAAAAAATTTAACCAATTGTAAAATTTGCGAATGCATATAATGGTAAAGAAGACTTTTGGTTCTCGAGCAAGAGGAGTCAATACTCTTGCATGGTAGGTTCAGTTATGCAACATCATTGGACTCTTTCCTGGTATATTGGTCTCCGAGGGGGGAAATTTGCCATAAGTCCTGTGGATCAGAGTAGCACGAGGCACGAAGAGCAACGATGTCCTTCGTTGGTTCAAGTTGGCTTACGGTAGGGAGGCACCATTTTGCATCTTTACAAAGCAGTTCTTGCAAAGTTGGGCATCCACGGTACACTTATTGACTATACACCGAACGTTACGGCATATGACATACATAAAATGTGTGTGAACTTTTTGCTGATATACCAAAAGGCGATTCCATGTGTTGACGTGTTTGAGTTAGTTCCATGGTTTCAATTGGCTTTCATGTATATTAAAATATAATCTTTTCTCCAATCAATCTCTCGATGGAAGCATTTTAGCTGAATTTACTTACTCTCAATATTTTGTAAAGGGAACTTCAAGTGAGTTCCTCTGTACTTATTTCCTGGTTTTCGGTCTTTCGAAACGCTATGTCGATCCCATACATCTTGAACAAGTGCATAAATACGAAGTAAAAGTGCTTGCTTGTGTGAAGTTTCCATGTTCAGTATAGTGCATGATCAGGAACCTTGTTCAGTTCGAGGAAGCTCGTAATATCTTGCGGTCTCTGCCGTCATACGTCCCACGAGTGTTCAACAAAAAGCTTCCAGAAAGGAAATAATGATGCATCGAATTTATTCCTACACTTTTTGTGCATGTTCTCGTGCAGTCCGCGATGATACATTAGAATTATAGGACTGGTCCCAAAGTCGACGACTATCTCTGCGTATGGCAAGGATAACATACAATATGTGGGGATTTAAAACGGGGCCTAGCCCCATGATACACATCTAGGGATATCGAAATGGGAGTCTTCCGGATCTATTTTACTACTTCCCTTTTTATACTCATATGCTGATGTGTGGAAGAACTACACATTTCTCCAAATGTGATCAGTTTTCAGCTGGATTAGTGACAATTAATATTTCTCTTAATCTCAAGTGAATGTTTTCTGCCGAATTGAACCAGGTCTGTTATATTTAGCATAAGATCTATGGACGCTTTGAATTATAAAAACGAGGCGACAAACTGAATAATAGCAAAGTGGTGGGGAATATCCTAAAAGCTATCAGGCTGAAACCTAGGGGTGGAAAGCAGTTATATTCCGATAACATCTAAATGGAAGAGTATGTCTCACAGCATACATTATATCATAATTTATCTACAGAAGTATCTTACACACCAAAGTAATCGTCAATTAATATTTTTTTAGTTTTATTTATGACATCATCTTATATTTTTATGTAGCACTGGATGCACGCCACATACAATTATTTCCACAATATGACCAGAAAAAGTGAAATTAAGTTTTTTCTATTTTGATAAAATGAAACGAACATTTAGGTTTAGAAGTTCTAATACTACCAAAAAAAGAGAAAAGGAAAAAGAAACGAACGCTGTTTTCATGTAGCTTCAGTAAGATATGAAAAAAAAAATCATGGTCTACCGTTACAAAGATGTGTAGAGACCTTCATCCGCAAATATTTATATGGGTAAAACTCTTGAAGTCATCAATAAATGAGATAATTGTGTTTCTGAGTGTATGTAATATATTTTGGATATATGATTATATTATCTAACGATCATTTAGTCTTCCTCAATGATCACAATATCAGCTTCAGTAAAAATTGGTTGAATGTCATAAGACCATGTGAGATATTTACCCTCTCATCTCATAGTAGAAATCAAGTGTCTTTATCATACTGTATAATCAGCACACACCAATTTTTTGGTAGTAAATTATAGTACTTTTTGATCCAAATTGATTTTACATTAACATTTGAGTATAGATTTCTTTGTATCAAACTATCTTTGTACTTCTATCTGCACATTTGGAAATTATCGTAAGTGTGAAATCAGTCATGCGTTAAACAAATACATTTTAATTATGTTGAGTGTATATACATATTTATTTATGCAACCGTTTAATCTGTCCTTTACTGGGTAAGCAAAGTAAAACTTCAACAGAAGATTTCATCCAAATTTACAAGGATGAAACTAAACGAAACTTGTAAATGTAGATCACAATATTCTCACATTTAAAGATATGTGATATTGTAATCTTCTAGGAATAGCACGATTGCTTCAATATGATTTTGGTCACTTAAAGAGGGTGTATCCAAATTTCACCTACTATGGTGGACTCACAAGCACACACGACTAATTTCGTTTTAAAATGCATATAATCCACTACTAATTGTTAGGATTGATATCATTTCTAAATGTTCAACAATCATATACTACATTTAGAATGGAAATGAAATTAATTATACTTAAAAAATATGAAAACGAATCATCGAAATGCACATAAAGTATTGAGACAAAACTCGACTTCATTGCTTTGTACCCTCGAAATAGAATGATTATAACGAACTGTAATCAAGACAATATTAATAGACATGAAGAGTTCAAGTTCCAATACGAAAATAATATTATCTTACATTATCATATGATTATCTGTCAATGTGTGTACATGTGTTACCATTGCAATCTACTATGCATAAATAGTAACATTAGAATTTTGACCTAATAGACAGTCCCCACGTCATCGTACGCCACGTAGTACCTCTGGATAACCCGAGTAGCTTTGCATCGTGGAAATATGGACTAGCGGGCGAAAGCTTCGGTATTTGAAAGACAAAGACCGTCTAATAATAGAATCAAACCACCAACAAATGCTAGTTTGTCAGAGATTCAATGCACTTCGATCTTGATCGGACGGAAATCTCTCTCTTCAAGCTTGTCTCTGGCGACGTTCTTCATTTGTAGAACGTGACAGCTTAAGACGAGGTCGCCTCGCCGCATTTTTCAGTTTGTTGACTCCTTTGTCTTTGTCTACTTCCTCTTCTATGACCGTATAGAAGATCCTTCGACGGCGATCACGGAGAAATATCGTCCCTCACGTCAGGCATGATTCTGTCGACTGAGCGCCAAACTGCACTAAAGACCATGTCGATTGCGTAACTACGCATGACCACTTTACGTCAATGGACATGGTTGAGATTCATCAACTGCTGCAAGAGTCCTCGCAGTGCATAAATATCAAATACAATCTTTCATAGATTTCTGTTCAAATTCTCATCAGAAGTTCCATGACTTTGATCCAAGCAAATTATGCTTAAGAGTATCCGGTTGTACAACTCTGTGTAGATTCATGATAAATCAGAGAAGAACTTTTGTAAATTAAGAACGTGATTTAAGAGCAAATTTGTCAACAATTTCTTTTAAAATAATAAAAATCTAGAAGCTATCTAAGATGAAAAATACTTAAAGCCAACTCACATTAAAAAAAAAACATCCTTGAAAATTT